GGCAGAACCAGAGATGGAACACTTGGGAAAAAAAGCCCCCAAGCTCCCAGCCAGAAAACCACTTACCGCAAGACCTGAAATGATCCAAGCTAAAAACTCCCAGCACCGCCTTCAAACATAATTGAGAAGTTGCCTTCAGGAGGCTGATGGACAGAAAATACCTGCAGTCACCTATTAATGAGTCACACAGACCTCAGCTGCAGTGTGCCAAGGAGAAGGAGCTCGTGCTAATCTACCCCCGTGGCGTGACTCCAGGCCCCCCCAGGGCGCCCCCCAGTGCTCCGGACAGCTAGGCCCATCCTTTCTTGGAGGCTGGTGTGCCACGGGGTTCTGAAACCGCCTTGCTCTTAATGCATGACTTGCATCCCTGAGCCAGTAGTGCACAGCTGCTAGAATTATTCTGAGGATTTAAACACATTAGCACGTTTTGTGAGCATTATCAAATAAAATGATTATCACAGAGACAACCGTGACCCACCGCAAAGAAATCCAACAGTTCTCACTCTTGGTCTGCATGTCTCTGTGTGGAGTCTGGCCTACAGGAGTGATGCAATTATTTATGTGCAGTGCAGAGGCGCTGCAGCCCCCATCCTGTGCACATGGAGTTTGCATGTTCTCCCCTTTTCTGCTCAGGTTTTCCACGGTGTCTCCAGATTCCTCCTCCAAACCGGAGACATACGGTTTGGTGATGACCTGGCACCCTATCCGGAATGTTCCCCTGCCCTGTGCTGCTTGGGACAGGCCCTGGTCTCCCCCGTGACCCTATTTGTTATTTATTGCTGTTATTATTGTTTTGTGTTTTTTGGCAGGAAGCACCACGTTCCCATGACAATAAAGATTTGAAATGAATATAACAGGCAAGGGGTAGCTTGAGGTCAAGGTGATGTTAATAGAAGGATTCTGGGTCCCAAGTCGGGCCCTGCTGTTGTGCCCATGAATTTCATAACTTGAATCACTACAGCGCACTATGGATTTCTTTAAATATTTTCTGTCACACTGAACACACACACAGACACACCCTGTCTCAGGGGTAAAGAGATTACCCGCTTGCCTTTGAGGAACTGAATTGCTAGCCATGATGTGACAGGCATGTACCGAACAGGTAAAATATTATCATTACTGTATTCCCTGTACAAATAACTTAATTCTCGCAAAAAAAAAGAAAGCACAGGGAAAATAAATAAGTTGGCCGGTCTTACTACACAGGGAAAATAAATCATTTTTCTTCATTTCTGGATCTTGCATTTTTCAACAGTAATTTCACATATTCCCCGATCGCATCTCGGTCTGAACTCCCTGGTTTAAGCCCCAGGAATGTGACCCATCTCTGGACTCGCTCTCGAGCTGCTTCTGACGGGACACAGTCTCATGGAGGGACCTGGTCGCAGACAACGCCAAATGCGGCTGTCAGATCATGTATGTGGAGCTGTATCCAGGGCTAGTTTGTAAATTATGACGGTTGCTGGCTTGTAGATATAGCTTTGGGGCGGGATACCTATTATTCAATTTTAAAAACAAGGAACCAACAGTACGCAGGAAAAGACATCACAAAGACGACTGACGCCAACGGCAGGTCACGCCGGGTCGGGATGGTGAACAGAACAGCGTGGGGTAAAGTAGCAAAGGGCCGTTTGTGTGGAGAGAGGGGTTCGCTTTGCAGAGGTGGTGGGAATCAGGTAGAGGGCCAAAACAAGTGCAGACACAGTGAGAACAGGAAACATAAGTGCCTTTCTCAGAACCTAAACATGGAAACAAAAGAAATATCAAAATTCATTAACCCCACACTCAGCAAGTGGCAGACACCTGGGTTGTTTATCAATACCAAGAACACAAAGAACCTACTTGTGTTCTTCACCAGAGCAGTCTTGCTAACTTGTCTCCCAAGAACGGACTTAGGACATAGTGAATCATGGGATTGTTGGGTCTGCAAGAACACAGGCATGGTCAAGTATTGAAAAACTCCCTTGGAGAGAGAGCAGGTGACCTGTATTATCAAATGATCACAGTTGGGTAATTCAGTTCCAGAGAGTAAAGACCAAGAATTTGTTTCAACCAACCAGTTGAGTACTCTGTGACTGTGACTCTTTATACTCAACTGGTTGGTTGAAACAAAATCTTGGATTGGACTTTTACTTTTTGGACCTGAATTACCCACCTCGGCATACAATCACCTGACTCCCCCCCCCCCCCCCCTTCACAATATTTCAGGAGAAAAAAGTTCAGGCTTTACTCGGGGTAGTTAAACAACTGCTCCATCAAGCAGGCTGTTGGTAATACAACACAGAGCTTCAACCACAGGTCACTCTATGGCAATATCCGCATCAACCACCCCTTTGCCCTAGACCACAAGACAGTCGTTAAATCATCAAAATTCCACCTGCACCATTTCGTCCTTGTAAAACACCTGAACGTGCCAGAACAGGAACCCTAAAAGGTCACTTTACAAACACACAGTGGCGAGAGGTGTTAGCATCAGTGCTAAGATGCGGCTAATGGATTCCGAACATGTCGTAGAAACTATACTGTTAAACATTTTACTTTTATAAAATATATGGTGTGTGTATATACAGTATATATATATATATATATATATATGTACACTCACCTAAAGGATTATTAGGAACACCTATTCAATTTCTCATTAATGCAATTATCTAATCAACCAATCACATGGCAGTTGCTTCAATGCATTTAGGGGTGTGGTCCTGGTCAAGACTCCAAACTGAATGTCAGAATGGGAAAGAAAGGTGATTTAAGCAATTTTGAGCGTGGCATGGTTGTTGGTGCCAGACGGGCCGGTCTGAGTATTTCACAATCTGCTCAGTTACTGGGATTTTCACGCACAACCATTTCTAGGGTTTACAAAGAATGGTGTGCAAAGGGAAAAACAACCAGTATACGGCAGTCCTGTGGGCGAAAATGCCTTGTTGATGCTAGAGGTCAGAGGAGAATGGGCCGACTGATTCAAGCTGATAGAAGAGCAGCTTTGACTGAAATAACCACTCGTTACAACCGAGGTATGCAGCAAAGCATTTGTGAAGCCGCAACACGCACAACCTTGAGGCGGATGGGCTACAACAGCAGAAGACCCCACCGGGTACCACTCATCTCCACTACAAATAGGAAAAAGAGGCTACAATTTGCACGAGCTCACCAAAATTGGACAGTTGAAGACTGGAAAAATGTTGCCTGGTCTGATGAGTCTCGATTTCTGTTGAGACATTCAAATTTCTGTTGAGACATTCATGAGTCAGAATTTGGCGTAAACAGAATGAGAGCATGGATCCATCATGCCTTGTTACCACTGTGCAGGCTGGTGGTGGTGGTGTAATGGTGTGGGGGATGTTTTCTTGGCACACTTTAGGCCCCTTAGTGCCAATTGGGCATCGTTTAAATGCCACGGCCTACCTGAGCATTGTTTCTGACCATGTCCATCCCTTTATGACCACCACGTACCCATCCTCTGATGGCTACTTCCAGCAGGATAATGCACCATGTCACAAAGCTCGAATCATTTCAAATTGGTTTCTTGAACATGACAATGAGTTCACTGTACTAAAATGGCCCCCACAGTCACCAGATCTCAACCCAATAGAGCATCTTTGGGATGTGGTGGAACGGGAGCTTCGTGCCCTGGATGTGCATCCCACAAATCTCCATCAACTGCAAGATGCTATCCTATCAATATGGGCCAACATTTCTAAAGAATGCTTTCAGCACCTTGTTGAATCAATGCCACGTAGAATTAAGGCAGTTCTGAAGGCGAAAGGGGGTCAAACACCGTATTAGTATGGTGTTCCTAATAATCCTTTAGGTGAGTGTATATGCGGGTCTCAGAAAGTGCCTTGTAAATGCTTCTAAGCACATAGTACTAAGCATAGTATATACAGTATATAGTACTATGTGCTTAGAAGCATTTACAAGGCACTTTCTGAGACCCACATTATACATACTGAGCTTAGGGGATTAAACTTGGCTACTTTCCAACCCCCCAAAAAGAAACAAAATCCTTCTATGTCACAACAGAGACCCAGATGGATACCTCAAACCGTGCAGCCCGACCCCATACGACGGCGGTAGCTTGGGAGCGCAGAAAGCATTCACATGATACGTGACTATCCCGGTGCCGAGCCACTGAGAACAGAGCACCACAGACCAGGCCAATCCTCCACATCGCTAACCGTCCGCCGCCTCGCCCTGACATCTGTGTCCAATCCATTGTCTACACACAGGGCCCGAAAAACAGGAAATTGTTCTTTTCTCCTCTCTCGGCCGTCATTCACCATTCCTGCAATCCACAGGATCGCGCTGGCTTCGGTGTGAGTGTCCGTATGCATGTTGTGGAAAGATGAGCACTTTTAGAACAGCACTGCGGGGGTGAGGCACTTCTGTTTTAACAACTTATACAGCATAAAAGAACACACACACACTAAAGTGGCATGACTTTTGACAAAAGTATAAATAAATCTAAATATAGGTTAAATATCTATAACTTTTTCCCATTTTTTCCAACCAGCTAAGGACTGGAGATGGAGATGTCTGTTACGAACCATAAGAACCCCTCACAATCAGTGTGTGTTCATGAGAGCTTGTGTCTGCACCACACACACTTTCTGTCCACTCCATTCTAGAACCAACTAAACACTAAACCCCTTCTGGGGATTTTGGCTTCTGTCAAGTAAACAGCACAAAGCCCTTAAATCCATTCTAATATTCACTGGGACAAATTATGAATACAAAGTAATATATGCGCAAATCACTATGTAAACTCATGTAAATCACTTCTGACATCCAAACCTAGCAGGATTAAAAAGCAAAATCGTGCAGAAAGTAACCTATTTCTCTTTATGTTGAATGAGTACAGACATTTCTTTGGGTCTGTAGAAGTTGTTCTGAAAGCAACTGCAGATACTCCCTGTGAGCTTGTGTGTTCAGTTAACGAGGATTTCCCAGTGGGTGCTCGACGGCAAAGCCCCAGCGGACTGCGAAGGCAAACTGACCTGATCGTCATAGCGATACGTCACGAGCTCCTCGCCGATCGTGTCTTCCAGGATACTCCCCTGGGGGGAGAGCGCAAATTCCGGAAGGAAGTAGGCATTTTCCAACTGGCCTGCACACATCTGTAAATTAAAGAAGACAGCAAATGCGTAAATGCACACAGGACCAGTCACAGGGATGAGATGCTCTGACAGTCACAGTCTACACGTGGTAGTAAGGGGGGGGTGAGCCAGCAAAGACACGTCATCTGTGAATATTTGTGGGTAATCAAGGGCATTATGTACATTTACAGGCCTTTACCTTCTGGTGGTAGATGTAGTCTAGCTAAATCGATTTCAGGAGACTGACAACCTCTTACAGTTTCACGCTTCACCTGTAAGCCACCAAACATTAACCACTGTGTTCAAATTAGTTATAGAATTACGGGTCTCTTTCTTCTACAGTTTTTACATCCGATACATCATGAATAGATTTTATTAGATGTTAGTTAGGCACTCTCAGCACACAAGCACAACTCAATTGAATTTTATTTTCTATAATGCCATTTTCCTTTATCCTGTGACATGTCAGGCTTGCGATGGTGCATGAACAGGTAGTTACTAAGCCATGTTTTTTACGGCGTCTTGTAAGGGCAGGGAAGAAATTAAACAAAATATCTTGTACAAAACCCCCACAAGGCCTCTTAAGTGAACTCCTTAAAACAGACCAGCCCAGGAAATGTGCAGCAAATGGAGTCTGAGTTAGGGACCAAACTATATTTTTCAAGTAACATACACTAATCGCAACAGAGACTATAAACATTGCGATATCGGTAATGAGTTTAGCATGTTAACGATATATCATGGTCTATTACAATCACCCTTGATTGCTCTTAAATTACTTTTAGCGGCTTTTAGAGTGCGTTTGAGTGTGTTAAGCATTGTGTAGCTGGATTTACATGCGCAGAAAATCGTTGGGGGTGCGTCATGCGTGGGTGAACTTTAAATGCGGTGTCTGCACACACATACACACACGCTAAACGCATGTGCTGACAGACATTACGCTGTTCAGCTGCACAGACATACTGTCCAAGATCTTATTGTACAAATCAGCCCACAGCCACAGGACATAAATCACAATGTTAATCGCTCCGATATTCATTAGCGGAGCCAAAAACCAAACCATGGGCTTGTGTTCTAGAATGATCCGGCAAAATCTGTTTTCCACCCCTGCTATTGTTCTTGAATGTATACTCAATAAACTAGACAAAAGGCATTCTATGAATCCCTGTACTGACATCCAGCGACCAGGATGTTTCAGTTATCAGGTGGATTTGTTGGTTTTTCCCCTACACAATAAGCAGCAGTCAACAAAAGCCTTGAAGACTAACCCTAACCTCGTGGTATCTTCCATATAAATTTTCAAACCAACCCAAATGCCTTTCAGTTAGGCCAAGACAATAAGTCTAGTCTAGGACAATACCAAGCTGAGCAATATGTTAATGAGCAGAATTCAGGACTGAAAAGCTTCCTGGTAGAAGTGCCCAAACAGTACATTCCAGTGATTTATGAGTTCCGGAAAGGAGCAGCAGCAGAGACAGCCTGAGTAGCGATATCCCACCAACCTGTAGGAAAGAGAGCCACGCGAGTGGCGGAGGAACGCCAGCCCACAAACGCAGGCCCAAAGTGGCTGTAGGAGACACAGGGACCAACAACGGGATCCTCTACCCACAGGAGAGACTGCCTTTGTCTTCCAAACCTTGCATGGGATCAGTAATGCCCTCCACACCCCCCCAAGCAAGGATTTGAGAGTACAAAGTTAGGCAGCAAAGAAACAGAATGAAACTGCCATCTACATAACTTAGTACATATTTTCTTTATTTATTGACTGGGTACTATGTTGTTAATACACATACAGCAGGCTCTTTCTCAAATTCTTTTAGTGCGCTGAAGTTTTACTGACTTCTAAAGCACTAAATGGTCAAGCACCTCCATACATTACTGACCTTCTTAGCTCCCACTAGAGTGCTGACATCTATCACTCCCAGCTTCTACGGAACACACTGCCAGAAGACATCGGAGAAGCGTTAACAGTCACTTCACACTTTTAAAAAGTTATTAAAAACATATTATTATAAGATTGGCTTTTTAAGCTGTTCATAGTGTTTGATTATTTTCACTTCATTTCCCGTTTCTCTTTAATCATTATTGTATTACAGTACTTACCAAAGTTATTCATTTTCTCTTTACCTCACTGTTTTATTGAAATAACCATAATATTATACTGGGAATATGATTTGCTTATTTATTGATGTTTTGCTTTTTTTTGCCTATTTATTGTAGATGTATTGTATTGTATTGTAGATGTATTGTATTGTATTGTAGATGTATTCCAGGGTCAGCCCCCAGCCCCCAGCCCCCAGCCCCCAGAGCAGGCGCTCACCGTGCATCGGCCCTAAATGTCACTCAATAATAACTGTGCAAGGACCTCCCTGTTTTACAATGTGTCGAAAACTGACAACCTAGACTGTGATACTCTGTGTGGGATTCACAGTGAAAGACTGTAAGGAACACAGCAGTAAATCGAGTGATCTGGTGTGGTTCTGAAACCTCAAACTAGCACACATTAGCACACAGCCAGACCCAAATGGGCAAATCCCACTCCCAGAAAAAAAAAGACAAATATCACAGAAAAGGCTACTCACGGTAAATACAGTGTGTCGGGTCAGATCTCACTCACCAACACAGAGACGGGAGGGAGGGTGCCAATGACGAAACAGCCTCACCTGGGCACCCAGAGACACTGGAGGTCAGGGCTGAAGGTGATGATACACAGGGCAATTTTTTGAGCTATGTTACCAGGCAACTGCCAACCAGGTGAGACAAAGAGAAACTCTTCTGGGTCTGGATGACTGCGAAAAGTTGCCCACTGCTGATCATAGTTTTTCAAATATAAATTTGTACCCAATATCAATGGAAAAGTGCAGACAACATTGCTCACAAAGTTGCCCTGTGTATCGTCACCCTTGGGCTATGTTCACACTACATTCACAAGTTTAAGTGACTCAAATCTGATTTTTTGCCAGGATGTGACTCAGATCCATTTTTTCAGGACTATGTGAAAACGCAAATCAGATCTTTTCAAGTCAGATTTGAGTCACTTTCATATGCGGTCCTAAAAACGTATCCGATTTATGACCATGCTACATGCTACATGCTACATGAACGGGCAGATCGAAATTTGTGTGGTTTTTTGCCAATACTCATGTGTTGAGTGGTTTTTTTTTGTTATTAGTAACACAGATGACACGTGCAAAAATGTATGAACGAGCACATGCCAACCGTTTCGGAAGACAAATGCGTTCATATTACAGTTAGATATAGGTCACTTGTAATTATGAATGTGAACCATCACGATAGGCAAATCCGATCTGAGAAAAAATATCGGAATTGGACAAACATTGTAATGTGAACATAGCCTTAGTCTATCCTAGAGGTACATCTGATGGTCTACCACCACCAGGAAAGTGAAGACTTCAGCTTGACCATATTAAGGGAAAAGCTGGTGATAAATGGCTTTTTACAGGGTGACAGAGACTCCCCATTGCTGCCCGGAACAGACTACAGGCCTGAGTGACCCGGGGCGCTCATGGGAATTTTACTTACTCAAAAGTGTTCTGAGGACAGAATGAATTGATTCAGAGTGATTGGTTGTTTCCACCTCATTTAGCTGCTTAGACCCACCTCCTCTACAATCTGATTGGTTATCTCTCTGAACCAATCATTTTTCATTCTGCCCTCAGAACACTTTCGTGTAAGTAAAACTCCCGTGAGCATCTAGTGCTGGATCAACAGTTGGAAGGCGGATTATCGTTAGCTGCTGGGCTTTTGGCATCCGGTCCTCAGCAACAAAACAAAGCTGATGAGCAAGTTTCTACAGAGTCTTACCGGGCCCAACCTTGCCCGTCTCTCTAGCTGATGAGCACAGGGCCCAGCCAGGGGGCGGGAGGCTCCAAACCTTGGCGGGAACCCGGGGTGCCATTTTAAAATTACAATCAGAAACCAGACGTACTCTCCCGAGGACCTAACTATAGTCTTAGTGGCCAAGAGCATGGAAGGTGTCACCCACGCTGACAGCCTGGCAGAGAGAAGGCAATGGGGGCGGCCATGAAGTACTGAACCCAAGTCATTCAGACTACTTGAGGGGGTAACTCAGAGACGTCCTCCGTAGAAGTTCCTGCTCAAAGCTTCAGCCTTAGCTGTAGATCTAAGCTTCAAGTTTTCTCCCTATCAACTGACGCCAAGTGCTGCCTGCAGAGAGGACAGCTGGGGGCTGCTTCCATTCTTCCAGAACTGGAACAGCAGCGACTATTAGGAGATCTCCTGGATTTTTCTACCAACCATCTAACCTAATCAGAGCCAGGCAGCAGATAGCATTTTGGGCTGCAGGGGTCCTCGCCCCAGGATACGGAACGGCAGCCAGAGGCGTGATGCCCCATTGTGCCTGTGGAGTAACCCAGCCTCCCCACCCCACATACGTTTCATTCAGAGTCCCTCCCCAGCTTTAAAGAAAAATATTTGCGTTGCATTGAGTCGGGGTTTGATCTACTAGACTGAGAACACAAGCAGCTACTCATTCAGTTCTCCTGAAATAGATCAGAATCAGGGATGTGGGGCTTTACAGCAGCCAGGAGACATCGCAGGTTACGGAGTTAATAGTAAAAGTAAAGAATTAAATTCAAGTTAATAAGAACCACATACAAAGTCATTCCAGTTGCCAAAACATGGACTGTGGAACCTCACATCAGTAACCCTTTAAAAACAAACTCAGAAAGATGAAATTCATGACCGAATGGTAAGTATACAGATTAGGTAGCACCCAGTCGGACAAGGCATATTCAGGGAATAAAAATTTCATTATATTAGATATGATCTGTGGAGTCTTAAGTCTATTCCTTATGTTTCATTTTGGAAAATATTCCCCCCTGTACGGTCATGTGGCTGACATCAGAGCTGCAGGTCTCATATTAACACTATCAGATTTTAAAATCTAATGGATGAAAAATCTGCAAAAGCTCACTGAAAAAAAAAACGTCTGTTTCTGCTGGGCCTGGCATGTGATTTTGCTCCGAGTTGTGAAACGAAATGTCCCTCTCAGACAGACAAAAGGGCATGATATTTAAAAAATACAGCAAAAAGACACAACACCCAGAGGATGGGGGCCATCCAGACAGCCTGCAATGTGACTGATATTCCCAATATTCCTGCAGAATCCATCCATCCATCTTCTGTAACCACTTCTTCTGTTCAGGGTCACAGGAGGTCCAGACCCTATGAGCACACATGCAGGGAACAGCCCAGAATAGGCCGCCAAACCATTGCAGGTCACACACACATACAATTCACTAAGGCAGGCATACCTATGGGAGATTTGGTAATGCCACTTCACCTCAGTATGTTTTTGGACTGGGGGGGTGATACACTGGAGTGCCCAGAGAAAACCTCACAATGACACGGGGAGAAGATACAAACCCCATGGCAGATATGTGAACCCTGGTCCCACAGATGTAAGGCACCAAAGCTAAGCACTGCACCACTGTGACACCCTTCCAGAAGAATCTTATTCCAAATTCTCTTCCCTCCATGGTTCATCGCATCTAAGCCCTACTGTTTTGCCAGATCTTGCCTTAAAGTCCACCACATCCCTAACCCCCTCCCCGAGTGGAAAATGGAAGATAAAACACCCCCCCCCCCCCCCCATCTTCATTATTGAATCAGACTCCAGCTGTGCAAATACACAGAGGACATGCGGCCATCCTGCAAACCGCAGGGACTGAAAGCACATCCCCGTCGGCCCTCTAACGCCGTCGCAGCAGAGGCACCTTGATGACATCACAGCATCATGGAGCAGGTCATTTCACCCCAATATACTCATTTCCATGTTTACTCTTCATTTACAATAACAATAACCCTTTATTTGCCATTTGCACAAGTACATTGGAATGCTTCTCTTCGCTGACCTCATCTTGCCTTCACAGCACAGGGTCAGCCAACATGTGGGGACCTTTAGGTGGGGGTTAATGGCCTATCTCAAGGACCCACAAGCATGTGGCTGTTCTGCTGAGATGGGGGCTTGAACCAGAGTCTAAGCCCACTGAGCCACTCTGACTCCCTTTCTGTTAAATACTGTATAATATTCCTTTATTTAGCAGAAATAAGATTTAGTCCATGTGACACAAGTGAGGAAAACTTGAGGTCAGGGGTAAGTTCAGCCAGTAACCTTAGAGCAGATTAGGGTTAAGGGCCTGAGTAGAAGGTTAAGTGCCTTGATCAAGGGCCTAACAGTGACAGGTTACACACCACACACATCTAGCTAGGGTCCCCCTATCCACCCCCACCAAGGGTCACCATCAGACTGGCGTAGAGAAGCTGTTTTTCTGCAACATTCCCATAAAGGAAGCTTAGTACCAGTGGTATTTCTGGCAGATTGCGTGAGACAAATTAAAACATTATGAGCACTGCAGGGACCAATCGGCTACTGTTGTCATAGCGATGAGACAAATTACCATTTTAAAATCTCTTAATGAGATATAGTCCAAACAGGCAATTTAAACACGCATGAGAACCCTGATTGCACGGAAGCCATTACTTTTCCGTTAAGGTATTTCTATTAATATCGTTGCAAATTAATGATCAGTCTCACACACCCTTGATTTAAAAATCTGAATTAAAACAGTTGAGAGATTCAAAGTAGATTGTTGGGACCTGGGGGCAAATACTTTTTAAAGTAGGAAAATGGATACGTTTTTAGACAACCTGACATCTCACTGCTGCACAAGCATCCTGCTACGTCACTTGAGCGTTTGATCTGGAGTGACCAGATGGTGAGGTCATGTGACCATATGACACACTGCACTGCAATATACCGCTGCAGACTACTACAGTATTATTTTCAAACCTTTCGGTTGACATTAGCCACGGTCACATGTGGGACACACCAGTTTTTTTTACTTTATAAATCCATTAAACAGACATCCCTTTTGCAAAAAAAAAAAAAAAAACAAAGGAAATTGTATTTTCAAAGAGCATTTCATTAAGGCTTTTTTAAATTCATATCTATTTCATGGATTAATCTGAAAGCATTTATGGAAATACTACATTAATGTCCACATAAGTCATCATCATTCTTGAGCGCAGTGTGGAGTATTAAAAGGCTATCAGAATCCGCGGTCGAGGTGGCTGCTAAGTCATACCCACTTGTCTGTTTGCTCTTGAAAATCACAAATATAACCTTGTGTTTAATGACGCTCCAAAAGTTGTCACCCGTTCCGCAATCCATAGATATAATGCCAACAAACACGAGCGTCGGTCGGTCCAGAACCCAGTATGCCTACTGGACGTAGAGGAGACGTCATTAAAAAGTCAAAAACTTTCATTCTGGCTCCTCGGGGACGTCTTTTCAAGGTCCCACAAGCCGTTTTATTTATTCTACTTACATCTGAAGTCTCCGGTTTAATTAAATGTTGATACCTGCGCACGGGAAGAGATGAGGAAGATGGCCAGGCTGAGCTCCCAGGAGAGCAGAGCGACCTTCATCACCACCGCGCTTCTCGGATTGCGGCGTCCGGGGCACATTTCACTTCTGTCTGAGAAAGAAGAAAGTATCTCCGTCCAAATAGGCCGGCTCACAAAGCTCCTCTGGATCGACAGCAGATAAAATGAAGTCCTGAAATGTATAGCGCTAAAGAACTTTTCTCAAGTCAGAATTGTGCAGAAACGTGCAGAAAATTGGCAGCAACGTGCAGAAAAGCCAAAAGTTTCCATTATAATATAAATCAAGCAATTTTCTACAAAATTTGAACTGTTAAGTGACTATCTAAAACTGAGACAAATTACCCCCGCATTATAATAAGCTTTGCCTGGTATATGCGTTTGGTCGCTCACGTCACATTAAAGTTTCCCTCACTTTTGTACTGGCCTGTATTTCTGCCGCTGACTTTCCACTTACTTATTCAGACCAAGAGATCGTTAAATCATTAGCTGTGAAAATAAAACTATAGACACCCTTACCAGACATTGCAACCCAACTGATTTCATTTCTGTGCTGGGAGGCTTTGATTTAACCTAGAGATCGTCAACCTGTCCGTGCACGGACAGACGTGTCCCTGGCAAGACTGGTCTTTGAAAATGTTTTGATTAAGAAAAAACCTTCGGCCTATGTAAGTCATGTTTTAAAATACCATGTCCGCGGTAAAATAATAATAATAGTAATAATAATAATAATGCCATTTTGATCTATTTACCCGTCATAATTCGCCACAGAAATTACTCCCTTTTTAATCCGTTGCTTTAATTTCACTTAATAAAATTAAAGATTAACTATGAAAACTGAATTTAAAGCCTGAGGGCTTCGGGCTAAATCTGAGTATTTTTTAACATCACGCGCATCACTTTTTAAATCATTAAACCAAAGGAAAACAGTTCTTACATCATCTGCGGAGAAATTAGATCAAATTAAAGAAAGCAAACTGTCCACTTACCCTTATGGTAACCTCAAGTGTCTGTGATGATGTGAGTGCTATAGGCTGGAGAAAAAGGAAAAGTAACAGGTTTGCTAAATGCGTCTTACTGCTCATCGTAAATTTCCAGTGTCACCTCCAGTAAATAGCACTACCTGAGAATATTCACAGAACTCACAGGCATTATAAAATCGGGACTGCAACTAAAATACTTTAAAAGAATAAATAGGGAATAAAACACCCTTCAGCATAATACGGTAATTAGAACTAGTAAGCTACAGAACTAGTATTACTAGTCTAATTAAGTATCAGCAGCACGACATACATTTCACACTTATGTGATAAGATACAAGTAACTGAAAGGGAGTCACATTATAAGACACCTGGTATTTTAAATGCTTTACCCACTTCAAGACACCTTATAAGCCCCTAACATTGATGTGAAGAATCCGTAAATAATTTGATTAAAGCTGCCTTATATTTAGATGAATCCAGAGACAGGTTAGAATTTGGTTTCTGTACTGTAAAAGCGAAGATTAACTTTGGTAGACCGTAGCCGTCTGAAAGCGCTTCTCACGCCGAGCGACGGAGCCTGAGTCTCGGCGATCAAAACGACCAGACGCTATTAAAAGACGAATCGGACCTCCCTAAAACATACCGCCAGGGAAAAGCAAGACGTGTTCATATTTAAACATTATATTTCGTATACTTTACATTTACGTTATAAAGTAACACTCCATAGGTTGTTATGGACATACACCTGTTTTCCAAATGCAATTGCAATAAGAGCCGGGAGCAGTGAGATTAGATTAGATTTGCGCAGTGAATTTACATTCCAGTGCTAAAGTCGTTCTACTAAGGTCCTCTGATATAACCGGCTGGCGGGGAAAAAAGGATACGGTTCCTTAAATTGAATTAGCCTACCAAGTTATGGGAATAAGATATATATTGCTCTTAAAATAATAAACAGTAAATTTAGCTGTCAGCTGGGTAAAACCCTCGACGCGATTTGGTGCACTTACGATGCATCATGTTTATGTGTATTATAGCGAGTTTAACATGTTAAAAATATCATTCTTACCTTTGGTTGAATGTAGACTAATATTTCAGGAAGATATCTACGTCATCTCTTTATTACTAGGATACAAAACTATATTATCCCAGCGCACTAACACGCATAAATGATGTACCAATAAAAGCAAGCGGTGACGGCCGGGAGCTGAATCTTGGTGTTCCTCCTAAATGCACCTCGCATGCAGAGCATTCCCCGGCATATGTCTCATCCCGACAGCGCTGCGAGACTCGAGGCGGAATTAAAACTAATGAAGTGATAGAGGATGCGGTTCATGAGCCGCGCGGCTCCGCCAGGCGGCTGCAGCGCCTCACTGAGGGAATCGGAGAGCTGCGAGGGAGGGGGGGGGGACATTCTCAAAAATTTAGGAAAAATGTCTTTACGTATTGTTACTGATTTGTTGCCATCATTATGAAGTGAGAAGTACTACTTTGGGGTTGCAAGGTGTCTCAGTCCGTGTGTGTGGAGTTTAAATGATCCCGTATTCCGCAGGTGTCCCTCTACTCTGGTATCCTATCACAGTCCAAAGTCGTACATTTAGGGTAACTGCATGGCGTCTTTAAATTGACAGAAGTTTATAATAGTGTTCTTTAGTTTGCGCATCTGCAGTAGACTGGGATCCAGTGTTGCCTGGTAGAAACAGGACTGCCAAAACCCTGACCAATGATGGATGGATGGATGGATGGATGGATGGATGGATGTGCTCCTATTGCCATTTATTACACTCAAAGCAACTAATGGCTTACATTACAAAGAAAAGCTTGCAGGTTTATCTAAAATAAAAAAAGAAATGGTTGCGTTTTATTTGAATAACTGAGAAAGCTTAAAATCTACAGCCCAAGCAGTTTGAAATGGCCACGCAAAAGCCACCCATCCATCGACCCATCTTCCAGGACCGTTTATCCAATAAACAGAAGTACCTGTTGGTGGTGAACACGAGGACCGCCAGATGGGGAACCGTCGGCCTTTTGACCGATCCTCCTGTCGTTGTTTCTCTTTATTAAAGGGCAGTCATTAGCATTTATACCAGGCGTCACAATATTACGTACTTTTAGGTTGCATTTAATCATGGAGATAACTTTTTAATGACACTCTGGGGCAGCTCTTGACATGTGGACATGTGCCAGATCACAGCAGGGAGCCACTTAAGTTTTAAGTTAAATTCATAACAGCGCAGCCTGATAGTGTATGCAGCATACGCCCTATGTGGTATATGCAGACCGCAGACTCGGGATAGCGCCCTTTTACAGTAAGATTTCCACACAATATCCTCCTATTTTACAGGTGATTGAGGACTATAAATCAGTTTTGCTTATATTTTTAATCTACTTACCGGTTGTTTTTTCCCAAAGCAACTCTCAGGGTCAGGCAGTCCATGGAACGGTAGGGGGTTGGGGGCCTTGCTCTGGGGCCCAATGGTGAAACCACTCTGCTGACCCTATTTGAACCAACAACCTTCTTATCACTGTAACAGTGATTTAACACAACATACCACCTTTTTCTGCATTTCTGTTTTGATTAAAAAAGTCCAAATAATCTTTTTAAACACAGAATTTCACTTTGATTCCGTTAATACCAAACGAACTACTTCTATCGTGGCAAATGCTGACTCATAAAAAGTCCAATTAAACAGAGAGGTTTCCACATTGGAGCAGTTTGCTATAAGCCACAAATGGAGATATTGCGCCCTCTACTGCTCGTCAAACGGCATAACACTGCGCTCAACCGGCATTCACAAGATATCGGTCTTTTTTTCAGCTGTCACTTCTAATCAGTAGAGATTCATGAAAAGGGGGACCTTTGCTGGGGGGATCTAATTTTAATAAAAATGGAAGAGAACACACTACATTTAATTGTGGGGTGCTAAAGAACAGCCATGGCTCCATGTGTGTGGAGTTTGCATGTTCTCCCCATGTCGTTATAGGGCTTCCTCCCGATACTCCAGTTTTCCCCCCATAGTCTAAAAAACATGTTGAGATTAACTGGAGTCACCAAATTGTCTATAGGTGTGTGTGTGTGTGTGTGTGTGTGTGCCCTGTGATGGGTTGGTGCCCCATCCTGGGTTGTTCCCTGCCTTTCTCCTATAGCTTCTGGGACAGACCCCCTGCAATGCTGAACAGGACAATCAGGTACAGAAAATGGACAGGTGGATGTTTGAATGTACAAGTTCAATGGCTGTCGCTCGAATACAGTCACCGCGGGTGCATGGAAACAGTGCAACTATTAATACATATGTATAGAAATAAACTGGTACAATTTTGTTCCCCAAGATACAAACAACAATACCGTAGCCCCGATAGTACAAAAATGCTCCTCAGAGTCAATTTCTGTACCTTTAAACTAAAAAAGCCCATTTACCTACAGCTAGGGTACGGTTGGCAGACCCTTGAGGTACAAATTGGTACTTTTTTCTGACAATGTCCCGCACAGTCCATTGTTTAAAACATTTTACTGAGCACATCTGTCTAATTTAGCTTTATAGTTAGTAGGCCATTTATTCTACACTTTGCACTTTGAATGAACACAGTTTAATTATTAATAAACATATATGCACTAATAGTGTAATAGTGCAATGGAACAAATTAACAGGCCAATAAGATTAAAACTAAATGCGATAAAAATGCTTAGTAATGTTTTCTCCACACAAGAGCACAATGCACACTGCTTGTCTATACATATGTATTAATATTGACCTTACATACCTTGTAATCATTCCTCTCCGTTGTGTATTTTGTGTCCTATATGTATAGTATTCTCTGTCTGTAATTGTTAATGTTCTATTGTTACAGCCCTAACATTAATAAGCTGTACCAACAAATAATTTCAACCTGCCTTGGTCATGTGTGAACAAAGATTCTGATTAAACTGTCCCCATCCTAAGTGCAAAGGACAGAATAAATGATATCTATAAAACTAAACAGACACACCTTCCTTATTGAGGGCTAGGAGCATCTTTGCATGGCCCAGTGTGCCCTCTAGGGGGTGCTGTGCTGTCTGTGCTTTGGATGCCTGGTGGCCAATGGTGTGCAGTTGTACCGGTTGGCGTGGGGCACCCCTGGCCCCGGCGGCGTTGCCCTGGCATGATTGGCTGTGATTTGGGCATGCTGAATCTTGATTGGATCCTGCTGACTATGATGCCTCAGGCCCAGTCAGCTTGATCTCATGTTGCCCTGCACCTTTATGAGGGCAGTCCTACTGGCAGACTGAAGAGAACCAGGACAGCAGCTCAGGTACAGTTCTTTGTTTTTACTGCTGTGACCCAGTCTGTGCGTGTTTGAGCGAGAGAGTGGGCCTCACTGTTTCCTCTTACCCTCATCTGCACCTTTATCTGGATAGCAGAACAGCAACACAGCCCAACAAGGCTCAGCCCCCATAGACAGGTTTGGTCTATGGGCCTTTCCCTGTTACTCAGATCTCACTTGACCAGAGCAAACATAACATGCCTGTAGGTCACGTCAGAACTGGGCTGCACGGCCCAATCAAGAATTTTAAGTTTCACCAAGCAGCTAGTAGAGGTGGGAACAGCCAATCAGATGTCTTGGTCCCGCCTCCTCTAGTTGCGTAGACCCACCTCCTCTACAGTCTGATTGGTTATCTCTCTGAACCAATCATTTTTCATTCTGCACTCAGAACATTTTTGTGTAAGGAGCAAAGAAAATTAGTGGTACCGCACATCGACACCAGGTTGTGTCTGTTTACGATGGTAACGGTAAGCAGGGGCGCCGTAAGGGAGAGGAAAGCTAGGATGATTCCAAGGGCCCCTGAGTGACAGGGGCCCTAAAAAATTAGGAAAATAACTGGATTGGTTTGGACTGGGGGGCCTAATATGATATGCTTTCATGGGGCCCAAAATCTCTAGCAACGCCCCTGACGGTAAGTGATGGTAAAACTGAATCTAGCACCGATATGATTCAAGGTCTGAGTATCCTCTACATCAGGAAGAAGCTGATTCCAAACTCACATTACCACTTTGCATGAACAATGGTTTACTTCAAATTAATAAAATAGTGTCTCCGTAGATTTAATGAATAACCCTCCAAAGTACTGTCAAATACCCGATGTAACACAAAAATATTTTTTTCAGGACGTTGTCAATACGTTTTTGTGTTGCGTTATACTAGTTTATGGGCACTACTGTACGCAAATGTCCATGAAACTGCACCACTTTCTTTGGCGTTTACCGCAGTAGCCTCTCTACTATAAATGGAAGTCGAGCTTCGACATCGCATTCCTCACCTAAAGCCCGAAACGGCATCCACTGTTGTGCTTATCAGCTGCGCGTCCCCGCCGCACCCCTTTAAGTATACCGGCGCCGCGCACGCCGCACCCCTTTAAATAGACCGGCACCGCGCACGCCGTGCTCGAGACCTTGTGACGGTGTGATGTCATCGCTCACCCTAATTTTACTCCGTTTCGCTCCGAACAGCTGCTGGCGGCGGAGGGGCTCCACGTTGGAGCCTGGTGGCAAGTAATACTCCTGTGAACCAGGAATGAACTTCAGTATGCATTGAAGTAGCGCCGCATTACTAGAGCTTTAATGTTTTGGAAGTTTTCTTGCCGTTTGGCTTCCCAGCTGTGAATTTGGGTGTATAACTTACTGATACACGCCTTTCTGGATTTTATTACTGCTCTATCAAGGTTGATGGCGTAGTTTACAAAGTGGTGGAATCGCTGGTAGACCAGTTTTTATCAGATACCATTGAACTGTTATAAAGGCGATATAAGCGTAGGACGAGCAGGTGCATTGGGCTCCGATGGCTTCTGTAACTTCTACGCCGTCCACTTCTACCGGCCGCGCATCCCGCACGACTAGGCGGAGCATGGCTGCGGTGTCCCCGTCCGGTGCCGCTACCGGTACCGGCTCCAGTCCCACACGTATCACCCGCATTCAGGAGAAAGAGGAGCTCCGGCAGCTAAACGATCGCTTGGCCGCTTATATAGAGCGGGTCCGGCAGCTGGAGAACGAGAAGTCCTCCATGCAAATTCTGCTGGAGGAGAAAGAGGAGTCCAGCGCCCGGGAGGTGGGCAGTATGCGGCTGCTGTACGAGACCGAGCTCGCCGATGCCAGGAAGATCCTGGATACCACTGCCAACGAGAGGGCCCGGCTTCAGATCGAGCTGAGCCAGCTCTCCGAGGACCATGCGCGATTGCAGGCGAGGTACCGGTCCAGTATCCGCCGCCGTCTGTCCGTGCATCTCCCGGACCGGGGTTTTTTAATCGATCATTAATCAAAGGCCCAGCAATTGTTTGCTGGCCTATTAGTTTCAGCATCTTTCACAGCACATCTCATTAAAATTTATACATGTATTTAATGTTTAGTGAGTTCCACATGTTTTTGTGCGTTTTGCACGTTAACTGATGCGATTATCATACAGGACACTTTTCACTAATCTGTCTGGTGCCTCACAGCGTGACTTGGTATAACTAGTCTTTACCTCAAACCGATCACAGTGAAGATGTTTGAGAAGCTTTCTGTGATAATGGTGACGTCTGTGTGGATCCTCTCTCATCAGGAATAACAAGAAGGAGTCGGAACTGACTACCGCTGTCAGCCGGTGGAGAAACCTGGAAGCCGCTCTCAACTCCAAGGAGGCGGAGTTTGCAAATGTACTGGCTGGAAACCGGAGCTTAGAGAATGAGATCTCTGAGCTGAAGACACAGGTTTCCACTGTAGGTCTTATTTTTGGTGTATGATAGCTGCTCATGCTCTGTATGGGCGCTGTGCCTTTTCCCCGCCTCGTGGATTTTCCCTAGAATGTCTGACTTTCCTCGCAGTCCAAAGACACGTTTAGATGAGTTTGTATCGTTAAATAGCCCATAGTGTGTGAGCCATGATGGCCTTGTGACGGGCCACCTGTCCATGAACCTTCACTGGAGATGTAGTTAGGGCAAAGGAATGCTAGATGGATCATGCATTATATTTAAGAGCTGGTGTTTGTTGCCCAAAAGGAACGCTGCTCATTCCCGTAAAATGCCTTTCCCATGCTGGCAAACCGACGTTTCACCCACCAGCTGGAATCAGCCTTGCAGGACGCAAAGACTCAGCTCCATGCAGAGATGTTGCGGAGGGTGGACCTGGAGAACCAGGTTCAGACGTTGCGGGAGCAGATGGATTTCCAAAGGCACCTCAGTGAGGAGGTATGCGGATGATTCCTCTTCCTAGCTTAGTTGATGGTGATGTGTTAGAAGTTTGGGCGACTCCTCCTGTCTGTGAAGTCAGTCAGCTTTACACATTGTATGGACATCTAGCCATAATGATTAAATTCAACTTTCTTTATATAGGCCATTTTCACAGTACTACATTGTCTCAAAGCACTTTACATTGTCCCTGCCCAAAGCCAGCAGTGAGCAAGCCCTAACCCTAACCAGACGCAAAGGGGGAGCCCGTCCTCCAGGGGGCAGCAGAGGAAGCCCTAACCCTAACCAGACGCAAAGGGGGAGCCCGTCCTCCAGGGGGCAGCAGAGGAAGCCCAAAATAGCGAAGTCTTTGTATTTAAAATAAAATATTGTAGCCCAGGTATAAATGCGAAGGTCCAGCTGATGTTGTGACAGGCAGATGAAGCTGCTGCTTCCTCCAGCAGGATGGGGGGGGGTCCAGCACCAAGCAGTCGAGGATGGCAGGTGTGTGGTCAGGATCTGTGACTTTTCGAGCCGCTCCTCTAACTGCCCGCAGGAGATCAGGGAGATGAGGAGCCGCCACGAGACAAGGCTGGTTGAGGTCGACTCCGGGAGACAGAAGGAGTTTGAGAGCAAGCTGGCGGAGGCGCTGCAGCAGCTGCGAAGGGAGCACGAGGTGCAGATCCTCCAGTATAAGGAGGAGCTGGAGAAGACCTTCTGTGCTAAGGTAGCCCCATCACTCACTGGGCATGACGCGTTTCAGGACCATACTGGTCCGTAACTCCGTGCACTGTTGGCAAGAGATCTGAGATTCGTGGGAGGATGATATCTGTGTAGGAGCAGAATGCAAACTTCAGATAAATGTTCCAAAGAGGATTCAGTAGTGGTGTTTCCCCTGTAATGACCTGTGGCATGTTGCCTTTTAAGAGCAAATGTGTCTGCAAAGGTCATGGCTGCAGTGGGGTGGCCTGGATCAGATACCTGCACCGAGGAGGGGAGAGGAGGAGAGGAGAGGAGGGGAGAGGAGGAGGGGAGGGAGGAGAGGGCGAGCGTAGAAGGAGAATGTAGTGCGTGTCACTGGCTGGTTTGATATGGGAACTCCTGTGCCAGATGCAAGTCTCAGCCATTTAGATTAGCGCTGAACTGTTTGCAGTTCGTTGTTCTGCGATGACTAACGAACCTGTAAATTAATGCGTGATTGTCGCACCCGCTCAGTTGGAGAATGCACAGCAGGCGGCGGTGGAAGGCAGCGCCCTCGTCAGCTCCACGATGGAGGAGCTCGCCGGCACCAAGCTGAGGCTCGACAGTCTGTCATCGCAGCTCACCCAGTCTCAGAAGCAGGTGCTTTTCTAATAAGACGGTCTGCCGCAAAACTCACATTGTGTTGTAGTACCACCAGATGGACATAAGGTGGCGCACTTGTATCACACAATTGTCTTTTTTTCAATTCTCATTTTCTCTGTTGTTGGAATAGATTTGCATCCTCCAATGTTCCGAAAAACATTTTTTTCGTACTGTACATATCTATTAACCCTCTGTCTGAAACAACCTGTTAGTGTTAAGCCCCACCCCCGATGACCCCAGTGTGCTCTCATTGGTCAGTTTGCCCTACACGTTCTGCCCCCGTCTTGCAGTCTGCAGGCAGATTCTTGCAGATAGGCAGACCTCACCATGTCATGGAAGTAAGGGCTGGAATTCCAACAAAGTGTTTCAGACAAATTAGAGAAGTGGTTTCTGTGATGAGAGTCACTCCATTTGCCATGTACTTTGGGCCTTAAGACTCTGCCGATCATTCATATGCACATAAAGCTATGTTCCACATTAAAGGAAAGGGGAAAACCAGAAAAGTTGGCCAGAGTATTTCACTGTTATCTGGCTTTGAAGTATGAGTGGCTACAGGTTTCCCACAATAAATGTGAAGGATGGTTTTGCCAAATGTGAGTGTGTATGCATGCGCACGTGTGCACCCATCACAGAACTCCGCCCTGGAGAGCCGCTTGCGTGATCTGGAGGAGCTGCTGGACCGGGAACGGCGGGCCAGCCAGAGGCGGCTGACCGAGAAGGAGCAGGAGATGGCGGAGGTGCGGCAGAAGATGCAGGCCCAGCTGGAGGAGTACGAGAACCTGCTGGATGTGAAGCTGGCATTGGACATGGAGATCAATGCCTACAGGAAGATGCTGGAAGGGGAGGAGCAGAGGTGATGTCACTTCCTGTCATATGAACCATTTCCTGCTGGGCCCTCAGTTGCTGTTATATTTGACACAGTAATGGTTCCTCTATGCCTTTCCCTCTGTCCCCCAGGCTGAACCTGTCTCCCAGCCCCTCGCAGCACGGGGCCGTGTCACGTACACACGTGCAGGCCGCCCGCAGGCTCAGGGGCAAAAAGCGGAAATTGGGAAGCCGGTCCTCCGGCGGCTCTGGCTACCGGATCACGCAGCACGCCTCGGCCCGCGGCAGCGTGTCCATCGACGAGATCGACCCGGAGGGCAACTACGTGAAGCTGCGCAACAATTCTGAAATCGTAGGGCCTTTTTTGACGAAGCATTCTTCACCTTGAGAAGATGTTTGTGGGGGGGGGATTTAAGTCTGATGCTCCTCTTTTTAGGACCAGCCTTTAGGGGGGTGGGTCCTCCGGAAGAGCCACGCGGCCGCCCCCGACGTCGCCTTTCAGGTGCCGCCGTCATACGTCCTGGGTGGAGGATGTACTGTCACGGTGGGTGGAGGCCAGGATTTTGGAGCATCCTGCCTGACGGAGGATGCAGTTGGTGTATTTGTCCCTTTACAGCAGTGTTTCCCAGTCCGGTCCTCGGGGACCCGCAGCCAGTCCACGTTTTTGCTTCCTCCCAGCCCCCTGCCAGCCAGTCCATGTTTTTGCTCCCTCCCAGCCCCCTGCCAGCCAGTCCACACTTTACCAAGAGCTGGGAAGGAGCAAACGCATGGACCGTCTTTGGGTCCCTGAGGGGCCGGGTTGGGAAACATCGCATTACAGTAACTGTGGTCACGTGTCTTGTCTCCAGATCTGGGGGGGTGGTGCTGGTGTGGACTCCAATCCCCCCACTGACCTGGTGTGGAAAACCCAGCGGAACTGGGGGGCGATGGACGATGTGCGGATCGCCCTGGTAAACCCCCGCAGCGAGGTAGGTGTGCGGCCCCCCTCTGCCTCCCCCGGACCACCCAAGGATGAGGGCAGCTGCTGAATGCAGGGCTGCTTCCAGCAGGAGGTGGCAGAGCGGAGGCTGACTCGTGTCCCAGGAGGCGGCGATGGCGAGTCAGAGGCGGAGCTCGAGGACGAGGAGGCGATAACAGGAAGTGAGGCGCATCTACGGCGACAGGTAAACCGCCATCACAACCACAGATGCTTTTGAAATTATTCTGAAGGAGCGCTTATAGTGCGCAGAAGAAGGTTCCGGAAAGGCTTTATATTAACTCTCTCTCTCGTTCTCTGGTCCGTCCGTCTGGTGCGGTTTTGGGGTTTAAGCCCAAAAGAAGAAAAAAGAAATGTTGTTTGGTGTCGTGAGCCACACCCCCCTCTGTGCGGGGGCCCCTGCTGGAGGTGAGGCGTGTGTCACGGCAATGGCCCCCTAGCTGCACCCCCCCCCCCTCTGCTTGCCTGCAGCTGAATTGAAGTTTGTGGTTTGCCATGACATCAAAGGCCGCCAGTCGCGAGCGGCTCTGCTGTCCCACAACCTACCGAACTCACCTGTTTGCCCCCTAACCCTGGCTGCTTAGTGCCCTCCCCAGCTTTGAGGCCTGAGTGTCATCCTTGCTATGCCAGTGGTTCCTCTATCTGTCCTGAGGGCTGGAGAATAAAGCCCCTCCCCCCCTTTTCCCAACAGGGCCGGATGGGACCGGATGAAGCCAGCTGTGCAGTAATGTAGCACCTCTGGGTCGACCTAGAAACCCGAAATCTGGGCGGCAGAGGGGTGTGGGACAGCCTCTGCTCCCTCTGAATCCATCCTGTGCTGTGACAACATAACAGTATTCTGGGTATTTTTGATGAAATCTGTAGCAAAATGTAACCGTCCTTGTTTCGGTCATTGTTTCTGAAGTATTTTTTCGGCCACACCTGACCTTCACCTGACCTTCTTGAGGGGAAACCCTCTATGCAGGATTTTGACATGCATTGGTAGGGTTGCTTGTACTAAACTTGGCATTCTCAATGTACCGATTATAAACCATTTGAGAAACTTGCTGTTCATTATGGTATGAAAAGAAGTTAAAGTGCCATGCAGGGTGGTCTACCATGAGCCTGAGCCGGTTTTAAGCCCCCCCGTGCTCATAACCTCACTTAAACGTAGCCGTTTTGTTATCCTGGAAATGACTCACTTTGTCATGCTGCCTCCTTGCCAGCAGAGGGAGCCATCCCACTAGGTGACAGTCAGTAATGTGCTTTCAGTTTCAGTGAGCCTCCCAAAGCCTTGCTGCTCAAATTTGTCCTGGTTTTGGCACTTTTCACTTTGGTTACTGACTCTCCAGCAGCACCTAAAGACATGTGACTGTGCCTTAATTGGGCTATAAATATTTGAATGTTTATTTATTTTCCTTTGTCAACTTTAGAGGGTCCTATGGGAACCTTTTGAATGCTGTGTCTCTTGCTTATCCAACTTACCTATTTAAATTAAAGAATACCTTTAAACTGAATTTTTCCAGTTTGCTGTTAGTAGTATACTCGTATTTTGCTTTGTAAACATACTCCAGAATATTTGCAGCTCATCCTGGCCTATGAGCCAAACATACTTTTTAATGTGAAGGTTGAGACGAGCCGATTCAGTGACATTCTGCCAGCGTTCTCTAGGATTTGTTGCGTGCAAGGTAGTGATGGGAGAGATGAGACCCCTGCAGGTGGTGGGTGGGGCTGCCGCCCACTGTCCAATCACTGCCTGACAGCCCAGCAGGAGCTGACCAGTGAAATCTGCAGCACTGTGATTTCCAGGGCGTAATCCCGCCCCCTGAACCCGCTTCCTTCCGTCACAGCCTCCTAGTGGACGGAGGAGCGTTTTATCAGAAAGTTAGCCTTTCTGCCCTTCCCACTGTACACTGTTGGCAATGCCTAAATGCTGCTTTGGAAATAATTTGCCTTTACTTAGTTAAAAGCTATATTTGACAGACTGTACAAGGATTGCAATGAATAACATGAAAAGTCACAGAAGTTCTCGGCAGTTGCTTTACTGAAATGGCAGCTTCTGTTTATCCATTGTCAGGCACTGACATGTACAGAACACAATTTTGTATCACTTTAATAAAGGTTTTTAGTTAAACTGATTAGACTCCAGATTGTTCATTCCTATTGACAGAACACTCCGGACTTCAGACTGGATGAGGGATTTTCCGCTTGCTCCTGACCCGAGCAGCCCGGCACGCCCAGGGGGGTTCCGGGTGTCTTGGCCGACGTAGCTTTGTCTAGAATTTGGCGGGTGCCTTGCATACCACGCCCCGTTTTCTAAAATCAGTCTTATTCCCTGTAAAATTTTTCAAAGAGCCATTAAAAATAAAAACAAAGTTGAACTATACAAGTTTTAAATATTCCAAGGTCCATCCTTAAAGCGGCCATGTTAAATCTTCAGGCTACACCACGGTCTCCTTGCTGGGGTCCTTGCTGGAGGGGCGGGGCGGTGGTTCCAGCCGGCCGCAGGGGAGACCCTCAGGCTGAGGGATCTGGAGTCGCACTTGCTGATTCGTCTGCCTCCACATCTCAAACAGGTGGACGTGGTATCGCAGGGAAACCTGTCGAAATTGGCACATTTCTATCTACCACTGAGCAAAGCAACAGTCTGACATCACATCCTCTTCTGTGTAATCTTTCCTGTCATTGTGTCATCAAGAGAAGACAATTCTGTGTAAATCTGAGTGGTCATGAATTAAGGTTTAAACCAATGCTCTAGAAAATGCTGGTCATTGTCTATGTCAATCCCGTGATGTAATGACAATTTTCACATATATATTCAGCTGGATTGTGACGATATCAGACCTGGGTTTTTTGACAAAGGCTGTAGACCCTCTGGTTAGGATGTCATACACTAGGGTGACCAGGTAATGTCAGGGAGGTCACTTTGAACCAGGGCAAGATTTGTAAACTACCACTTCAATTAAAAGGACCTGGATTTCACTTGAGCACTGAGTTCTTTCTGTGTGCTGATTGGTCAGTCTCCTATAATCATGTGTGTGTCACAAATGTTAATGTGAAACAGCAGGATGAGTCTTTCAATCAAGGAAATAAATCAAAGCACAAGAAGAACTGAACTATTTAGCCAAGTACAAAGCCTGAAGTAGCTCAGTGTCCTCCCTGACATGGATTATTCGGTCACTAGTGACGAACAAAATGAAGCTTCATGAGCCATGTCCTGTATTTTCTGACCCCACTAGATGGCGCTCTTGGTTTGCTTTCGGGGCATGTGTTGTGCCCTTTTTTTGAACAGAGAGCACCATCTTGTGGAGTCAAAAAATACAGCAAATGGTTCATGAAGCATCATTTTGTTCTTCACTACTGGTCACCCTACATAGGCAGAAGATGGGAATGGTGGCTGATGCAGAGAGATGTAGTCACCGGCTGATATATGGGTTACATGTGCTTTTAAGGTCACAATGTTATTTTGATCAACTTGGTGATAGTTGAAGGTTCGTCCAGTTACCACTAAGCTGTTTTTTGCAGTGAGCTGAACTACTAAGACAGCAGCCTCAAAAAAAGCAGTTATATCCTCAATGCTCTGTTTCTTCCCTTTTTTTAGTACCATTGTTGCAAATATATTCATCATTCCCATATTTGGTTGTAACAGAAGTTTTGACCCGCCCACTCGCAAGTGTTTCGCTGCCAAAAATATCGCGTTTAAGCTAAATTGCTCGCTTGGGAGAGTGTCCGTTTCTGTTTCTATTTGTGCCGGGTTGCATAAGAACGCTGCGTCCCACTGCTCTCCGGAGAGACCTGTGCTCGTCGGCAGGCAGATGCCGCTTACGGTCGTCCAGAAGAGGTAGATGACGAGCAGGGCGGCGGTGAGGACCAGCAGGCCCGCAGCCTCCATGCTGCTGCTGTGGTAAAGATCCACGGCTCCGCGTACACAGAGCCACCCCGACAGTGAGGCCAGCGGCGTGATGAACGTGAAGCAGAGGGCGTCCCCACACAGCGTTCGCCTCTGGTAGCGCATAGACGGGGCATGAAGCCACTGGGGACCGGTGGGGGTGGGGGTGGGGCAGCGGTTAACAAGTGACATCAGCTGGCAGATTTAGTAGTTAATTAGAACGGCTTTATCTGTTCACTCTTTGCCGGGGTGGATAGTTCAGTTCCAGAAAGTAAAAATCCAGTCCAATCAGCTGACTGCTCTGTGACGCTGTATACTCAACTGGTTGGTTGAAACAAAATCCTGGTCTGGATTTTTACCTTTTGGACCTGAACTATCCACCTCTGGCTCTTTGTAAAAATATATCCCCTAAAAATAAAAGTTATATAGATCTGCTTTTACTTGTTACCACTCCATGATTCTGTGCTATGCATGTATTACCCACAGTCCTCTGCTCTTGTTGGGCCTGGAATTCCATCGACTGATTACTTGGTCCCATGCAACCCCCCAGCCCAGTGTGTACATGAGATAATGTCCATTAATATACGAGAAGCTTCCTCACCGGCTGCCGCCAGCATCTAATCTCATTTTCACGTTGAGTGGTTTGAAAGTTAAAAGCGGCGAGCTGGACGGTGGGAGCGTGGTGCCTCCCTACCTCAGTCAGCGGCCTGGGCTGGCGCTCCAGCGCAAACTCGAAGCGGCACAGCTCACAGCGGCCGGTGCTGGACGCAGTGAGCCAGCGCTCCAAGCAGCTGCGGTGCACCGACGCCAGTGAGCCAGAGCACTCGCACGGGGACAGCAGCTGCTCCGCCCCCCCGCCCTCGTGACAGATCCGGCAGAAGAGCTCCTCACTGCGGAGACGTCCGTGCAAAAGACACCATCAGGAGCCACTCAAGGGAAACATGACCGTTCCAACGTCATCTTACACTGCAGACGGGATGCTGCCAGTTTGACGTGTGGCATTAAAAACGTGCGCATGTAGGGGGGGCCCCTTAGCCCATGTAGGGGGGCCCTTAGCCCATGTAGGGGGCCCCTTAGCCCATGTAGGGGGGCCCTTAGATCAGTCTTATTCCAACAGGATTTATTGGGCTTCAGCCCAGTGAGTTCGAAAAACTGCACCGGTCAGAAACCCACCCACAGGTAGGGTTAGGAGCACGTCCCGATTTTACCAACTTTGATGTGTCCCTTGGTCAACAAGGGAGGTGGCTTGCATTTCACTTCTTTAACCCGTCACAGTCTTCATCATATGACATCGCCGCATTAATTAAAACCAGTGTTTTCTGTTAAGCTGCAAGGGGCACAGATTTCTGAAGTATGTGTTTTATTGTGTGTTATTTATTGTCATGGATAAACACACAAAACATATTTGCTCACCTGCAGAGGCTGGACAGAGCAATGTATGGGTGCGTCTTTGCTTCATGATGATAATAATAACAATAACAACAATAACATGGCTCAAACTGGCGATCTTATTATCACAAGCACAGAGGTTTAGCCTGCTGAGACAAACACTGCCCCTGTTCTGATGCCTTGATGGCCAGAAGCCTTGAGTTTGAAAATGAAAAAAGAAAACAAACCAATGTTCGTGAAACTCAGCAAAAGCAAGATGTCCAGTAGTAGGAGGACAATCCTCCCCTGACAGATCTATTTTGCATGATCTTTGGTGCAGACCTACCTGCTACTGGAGCTCACGGCCACCAGCGGAGCAAAGCTGTCGATGATGACCTCCGGCTGGCTCTCACTGCCGCTGCCCTGCTCTACTGCGGCTTTCACCTGCAGCGTCGCTGGGCTGCCCAGGGCTGAGCCTGTAGCTTCGTGAGACACCATGGCGGCCAGGAAAGGGGCCATGAGTCCCCCACCCCCCCTCCTCGCTCAGACCCCACGTGGTCCAGGACAAGAGCGTGAGACCTGGCATGGAAATAAAAGACCGGGTGAAGACCTGGCAGAAGCGATCCCTGAAACGATTCAAAATAAAGACTGCAGGGGGTGTCGTGGTTAAGGACATCAGCCAATGAACTACAGTAACATAATTCTGTGTACAAAGTAGGGTGACACTTCATGAACCCTGATTTGATGCAATCTATAGTGAGTTTTTGCGAGACCAGAACACTTATATATTTCTACTTTCTTCTGGATTTTAAGAACCATTCCCTCACATGCTTTTAATTTAATGACCTTTAATTGGCAGGCAATGATTCTGTGTTTAGGAGATCTAAATGAAGCATCATCAAAGTACACCCAGGAATAATCAGACATAATCAGGACACTCGGCTGAGTCATAAACCATCCTCCTGCAGGACGTCAAAGCAAATGTCTGCAGTGCATTACTCTTCTATCCGCTTCTAATTGTACTTCCCCCTGATCAGAGGTGGGTAGTTCAGGTCCAGAGAGTTCAAATCCAGACCAAGATTTTGGTTCAACCAACCAGTTGAGTACTGTGACTCTTTATGCTCAACTCGCTGGCTGAAATAAAATCTTCATCTGGAATTTTACTGTCTGGAACTGAACTACCCACTTCTCATAATTCTAATTTCTGATTAAGTTTTAAAACATTAAATTCATTCTAAATTAAACATTCTAAATTCATGATCCAATTTTACAACCCTGCTCATTCAAAAATGTAGAGAAATGCATTTTCTTTAACTGTTTGTCCTGTGCAGGATCAGACATCTTTAAGCGTAAAGGAAGATATTTGGTGATATTATTTCCTTGTGGCACTGACAAAAAGAGCTTATCTCTCCATTATGAGTGGAGTGTAGTAAGTGACTCACGTCACTCAGGGAAAATCAGCTCTGTGGAAATGGAGCGTATTACTCTGGTAATCTACACGCAGGGGCAGAACTAAGGGGTTGCCAGATGTGGCCACTCCACATAATCATGATAAAAAGTAAATATGGATTATTTCATTTTCTAAGCCAAGCCATTAATATGAATGAAATTTTTCTGCAGACACCATTGTCTACACATCACAACATGGAAACCACTGGCTTTTCTTTCCATTGACCATTTCTTGACAACACTTGCAATCAGATACAACCGATAACATAACAATTAATTCTAAACCAATTTGTAGAATAATTAGCAACAGTGGTAAATCATGGAGACTACAGCATACGATGAGTTAAAGATTTGGTCTTAGATACACATTTAAGCAGATACCAAATGACCCCCCCCCCCCCCCCCCCCCAACACCAAAAGTGTCCTGTTTTCAACAGGATGCAGGCAGCAGATACCAGGACAGCTGTGCATGAATAAATACCTGAATAAAATAACCTGCTTGTGGACATCTGACCTTCAGCTATTTGCAGGCCCTTTTTGCTGTTGAAATGCACTTTTAAATGCGTTGTAACTCTCCATCTCAGCCGTCTGCAGCAGCCGGTAACACTCATTCATAGAAGCGTGAAGTCAGAGGAGAATTTTCATCTGCGGAGCATCAGAAGCGCTCCAGAGCCCTTAGCCGAATGATCACGCACCGAACCTGATGCCAACTATCACAACAAGCGCACAACTTTTTAAAGAAAGGTCTATATTTGAAAAGCTTACCATGCCAGTGAAAACACTCTTCGTATCCCAGGTGCTCAGAGGATATCGAGTGAGGTATGCAGACAGTGGACCTCTGAAGATGCAAGGTCTCCCTACGCCTGCTCATATTAACATTCAGCTCAAGGTCGGCGGTGGGAATAGATGGGGATTAGACAGGGAGAGCAGGCGCAGACCAGACGAATGGAAATCCTTTTCACATCACTGCAAGCCGCACCAAGGACACCTACTTACTATAGCCCCCTAATCCAGTTAGACATCGCCGTTGCCGGCCTTTCAAATCTTTCAGACATAATGGCAACCTGGCTGTGCAGGAAAGAAGTATAAATTGATCAATAAATATCTGGCACAAGAAAGGCGATGTATGTACTTTGCAGTCAGCAAGGGGCACCTCAGGGCTTCTCGTGATGTCAGGTGCTATTTTTAGACACCTGTCTGAGAGGACTCTCATCTCTGAAATAGAACTCACCTTTCGCGTTTTCTACAGTAAAATCTGAGCTAACATTTTCAAATGGAGGCAGACAGCCGTAGTACTAGAAGACGGTTGTTTTGTCAGAAATACACTTGGTATACATTGAGTGTTGAGGTTTTGATGTTTTAGCAACTCAAGTGATGAGCTCACCCAGTGGTTCCTTCGTGGACAATGGGAGACTCCCTGATCTCCGCAGGCCAGCTGGGACCCAACCAGTCTGGAAGTTTGAGGGACTCAGTGCCAGTCGAGGTCCGAGCCCAACTGCCGTCACACCCTGAAGGTGCACACACCTGAATTGACTGCCCAGACGTGTAGATTTGGGTACGGATAGTAGGGATATGTTCCTAGCAATGTAGTGGGAGTAGCGTGTGTGTTTGGAGGGCAGGGGGGGTTAGGGCTGATTTGGTCCCCATGAGTGTTGAAACTTAAACCTGCATTCTTGCAATCGCCTCAGATTTGAAGGATTTCAATGGCCGCGATTTTATGAAAGTATCATTATGAACACTAAGTTTGACGGGGTGAAATTTGGTGGTTTGGCCTCATCACGGTTATTTACCACTCATGCCCTATACGGGAACACAGTGGGCCACTTCCACTTCATGGATCTCTACACCACAGGTTACACATAGACCATGATTTGTTGTTACGAATCAAATCAGAGATACGGCCGCTAAGCTTCACAGCTTTTCTCTGTTGCTTCACAACATTTTTTGCAGATTACAAAAGAGAAATAGATCAGATTTGCTTATATGGGCTATGAAAGCTTATGGGACAGGACTAATAAAAGTAACATCCATTCATATTTATGGTGGGTTTCGTCTTTATGCATTTTTCTGAGCTGAGATTAAAGCGGGTCCCAGTGCCGCTGAGAGCGTCGCACTCTTTTACCGGCAAAGCCCCGGACAGCGACTCGCTCCTCACTCTCCTCTCTCCCTCTTTCGCTTTTTGTATTTCCTCTAATCCTATCAGCTATTCATTCACAAGCTGCTCTGGACAAAGGCGGAGAGGGAATGGACATCATTGTAAATTCCTTCATGAAGAGAAAGAGGGGGTGAATAATTTCTTTGACACGCCTGGGACAGCGCCGGAGACCCAGACGCCGGAGATTATCACAGGACTATAGACAAAGTGTTCAGCTCGTATGAAAGGAGGTGCTGCTTTCTCCCTGAGGTTTGTCGAGACGGCTGGGGCTGCGGCTTGTGTTGTGTCGCACCCCAAACACCGTCCCCCTGCCCTTCAGTAAGACCTTTATTGTTAGAGGAGGAAAGGACCCCCTTATCGTCTCCCGAGGGAACCGCAAATGCGCACTTAATGTTAAAGTCCACACTCATTCAAAGGAGACACCCCATAACCCCGTCAGACAGAAATGCCCCTTTTTTTTCTGGAAGTCTGCAAACTGACAGCAGTCGCTCCCAAGGATAGATATTGTTAGAGATTAATGTCAAAATGCAGTGCACAATATTCATTGACTGGAAAATAATATTAAATGTGTAGAAATATTGTCGAAGTATATCTAAACACGTCTTTGATTATATAACAATACGTGAATATTAAGCACATACTTATGCATTTTATGCCTTGGATACACTTGCAGTTACACTTTAAAGAGTCACACAAAACTTGTCTAGGTAATTTTTTTTTGCTTTAAAATTGTTGATACACCACAGCACACAACAACAAAACGCATCCTCTGCATTTAACCCATACATGACACCATAGTGAGCAGCTGTTATTCAGCACCTGGGGGCTGTTCCTTGCTCAGCATACCTCAGTGGTACCTTGCTAGTCAGGGATTCGAACCAGCAACCTTCTGATCATAAGCACAAAGCCCCCGTGCACAGCGGAGCGAGAGGATGCAAGCAGGTGGGAGAGATGAGACCTGGTAGGAAATGAGGATTCCTACCTTTTCAGTGAAAGCATGGTGATACAGGACAGTAATCAGAGGCACCTGACATTTACACCTTCTACAGGACAAGGTTTTCCTTTTAGGGGAAAAAGGGCTCAGATAGGGGCAAGGTCCAAAAAAGTAAATATGAAAAAGAACAGGATTTAAAAAAAAGTGGAAAAAAACATCAGGAGGAATTCTGCTGCTACTGGGATCAACAACAAGTTCCAAGTTATGTTATCAGGAATAAGGGCTGATGAAGAAAATTATGCAGCGACAATCACAGTCTTCCTGAGGAGGATCCAACTCCCTCCCCAGTTCGACCTACGGAAGGCCATGGAGATCCAAGACTTTATGACCCTAATCTGATAGGCAGGGGAAAGGAAGGTGAAGAGCACATGGCCACTAATAAGAATTTCAGTCTACTATCGTGTGACCACAAGCTGTGTGGCCTTATGGAACCGATAAGTAGGGAACGTTCTGGAGGCACCTTCCAATACGCATCAGCGGTATCCATCAGCGGTCTCCACCGGGATGGTGGTCTGGCTGCCGTCTGACAGCTGTGTGTGCTGGGTGGGTAGCAGCCTTTCAGGCGCTGACAGTATATTTAGCTGCGGTCTAAACGGCTCAGCCTTAAACAGGGAGCAGATTAACATGGGGCCGGGACAGTCTGCCAGTGTCAGGGAAGTGCAGCTGGGGTGGGGGTAGTCTCAGAGTCTCGTCTGTGTCTTATCACCTGGAGGAAGGGGACGGGGGGAGCAGGGCTTCTGGGATTCGGTCTCACACACCAAGGAGAACTTTTTGAGAGAAACCTAATTCCTGGATAACAGGTTACATTCTCAATCATTAATCATCAGAATAATCCACATTCCAAGCCCTCTTGAAAAGCACAGTTTTGCTTCGCTTAGGGACAATCATTCATGTTTTATGACACCACAACTCATAATTTAGGATGCAAACATCGTCATCCTTCCAAACTCTAACTAAAATCAAATATATTTACGGAAGCATCACAGCATGGAATAATTCAGTCGTAAGCTAAGAAAAAAATTAAGATTGTAAGTGCAACTTGGAGAATTATATTTATTTAAATGTTTATTTTACATTAACTGCCAGTAATTGTTCCTGTACACAAGTTTCTGGCGATCACTGACAATGTTGAAAAAAAACAAGCTTTTCCTTTAATAGTATTTCCATGTAAAGGGAGACCATCTTGCTTCTCCGCACGGTGTAATCTGTGAAGAATGTTATCACCTGGTGTTATCAGTCTCCTCTAAAATAGGAGTGCAGCATCCCCATTTCAATCCGGAGCCCCAAAGACAAGCGGGTCTCCCACGTGACGTTGGTCAAGTAGTCTGGGGGGGATGGACACGGGTGCTTATCTCCAGGGTAGAAAGGGGCGTCCTATGACAGCGATGGTCCCACAGCGGCGTGCTCAGAGCTACGGCACTCTATCGCCTGTGCGCAGTGCTGCAGGGGCCAGCCGCCGATCCGTTTCGAGTCGCGCCCTTCCGGAGGCATGACGGAGTGGACTCTGCTGAAGAGACTTCTGGATGCCGTGCATCAACACTCCACCATGATCGGGAGGCTCTGGCTCACCGTCATGGTGGTCTTCCGGCTGCTGGTGGTGGCCGTGGCCGCAGAGGACGTGTACGCGGACGAGCGGGAGATGTTCGTGTGCAATACGGCACAACCGGGCTGCCCGAACGTCTGCTACGACGGCTTCGCGCCTATCTCGCAGCCCCGCTTCTGGGTCTTCCAAATCGTCACGGTGTCCACGCCCTCGCTGTGCTTCGTCATCTACACCTGGCACAGCCTGTCCAAGCGACCGGCGGGGGAGCGAGCGGAGGCGGCGAAGGAGACGCACGGCAGGATGTGCGACTCGGACAGCTGCTCTGTCAGATCGCACAGGCACCTGGGTCACAGTCTGGTGGATGTGCTAGACGGTACAGCTGCACGAGGCGGCCGGCAAAGCCCAACAGCCCTGTCCAACTACGCAGTACCTCAGGACGGCACGGGCCAGTCCCGAGTCCTGTCCAAATGCTACGTCATCCACGTATGCTTCCGGGCAACCCTGGAGCTGAGCTTCGTCTTGGCCCAGTGGCTCCTGTTTGGGTTCCAGGTTCCTCCCCACTATCTCTGCTCGGTGTCACCCTGCTCCCAGCAGGTGGACTGCTATGTCTCGCGGCCTACAGAGAAAACCATATTCCTGCTCTTCATGTTCTGCGTCAGCGTGTTCTGCGTCGTCTTGAACTTCCTGGAGCTCAACCACCTGGGCTGGAAAAGGCTGAAGACGTCACCTCGCATCCCAGACACCTGGAAAGGCTACGAATCTATAGCCCAGGACAGCCACTCTACAGCATCCCTCACTTACAGGGAGCTCTCCAGCACTGGATCTTTGCCCACGCTGGACCTTGCGGGGAAACACCGGCCAGCTTGGACCTTCACTGGAGACTGCTCCCCCCTAAAAGGAGAGACCGATGCCAAACCTCCAAGCCAAGATGATCACAAAGGAGCAAACTGTCTGAAGAGCAAGGCCAGCAAAGGCAGGAGCGCCAAGCTTCGGGGAACCGAGGTCTGGATTTAAAGCCGTGCCTCTCCAGCCTACATATGTGTGGACGTATTGTAACTGAAGCACCACTTCACAATGTGTAAGTCTTAAACCAGTGAAAACCTCAGTGCCTCTGCTTTAATGTAAACCTGTGGCAAGTTTACAGACCATCGCTTCCAGCGTTTCCCTTGTAATTTCATTTGCAGACATGTGGTGAGATTTGTAGGCCCTGAACGGCAGTAAAATGCAGCAAAGAAAACCCAACGGAGATACAGGAAATGAAGCAGCAGTGCAGCCAACAAAGTGTCTTTATTTATGTAACATACATATCATTGTAGTCATCAAAAACACCTAAAAAAAGTTGTCATTTTAACAAAATGTGGCCACTTTTCAATCAAGTCTGCAGGAAAATGAATACAGAGCGACCAGAGATGGACCAGGCAGACTGGACAAAACCAGACGTTTATTGTGTGACACTGGAGGATCTAAACCTGGCACTTCAAAGTCAACTGTGGCCTCAGTTACCACTTCCCAGTCTCTGTCACTAAACCACCAAGGAACGTCAAAGATACAGTAAATGGAATGTAACGCAACATTATTCATCACGTTTTTTTCCCCCCTCTCTGTCTGTAACATCAGAGGTTTAAAAGTGTGTTCCAGCCCACAGGATGAACAGAGGTTCTCTGCACTCCTGGGCTTCCCAGACCGTGTCGCTAAAAACATTTACCTGGGTTTGGTATAAAGTCAGCACTGTGTTTACTAATTCAAACACCAGATCACTAAACAGTATTAAAATACCTGCATGAATTTCCCTGTAATTAAAATGTCATTAAAACTTATTTGGTATCTTGTTTAATTGGTCCAGTTATGATAAAAACAAAATAAAGCTGTGAAAGAGACTGTAGTATCTAATCCTGACGATTCTGGATGTCTGCATATATCTAGAGGGAATGTTAGACTAAAAAAAACGAACTTGTTTAGTTACAGTATTTAACGTACACATGACATTAATGCTAATGAAAAGGCTGTGTTATCATTTGGTGAATTACAGTTTCCCCTTCGGCGAGCCTTTCCAGAAACTTCTCCACAGAAAATACATTCTATGCTGAAACCTCATGTTCTCAGTTTTTTTGTGTTTACTTTTCTATTTTTTCCAGATAGTCCGACCATAAAGACCAGCAAATGTCATGCTGTCAGAGTGAAGGCAAGACGACGACTGACACCTTATTAACATCTCCAGTCTGTAATTTTATCAGACTGACAGGCATTGACGTTTAGGGGGGGGGGGGGACAAAACTCTCTCAGCAGAAACATAGAATTCAAAGTCTATAACCATCTCCATTTTTGATATTTACCATATAGATGACTCATAAATGTGACCAATATACATACGTATTTCTTATTATGGCAAGAAAAGAAAGTGCAATGTTTGATAAGGGAAAAAGAAAAAGGAGAACATGCATGGATGGGAGTAAAGTGTGACGCTTTAGTGCAACACATGGGACATTTAGAAAGCACTTGAATGGAGGGCACCATAACGTCAGAGACCCTAAGCAAAGAGCTCATAATATTTACTTTGATTTCTTGCAACACAGTAAGTCGTACAATGTAAACAGAGAGGACTCGGTAAGGACATTCATAAAATTTCAGTTCAAATACTCACAGTTTAAAATTGTGTTTCAAAAAAACACTTAAGACCACGGCAGGCAGGTAAATCAAATCTACATTTTCAAAGGAAATGTACAAAGACGGCAACAGAATACCCATTATATGCGATATAACAAGCAAATGAGATTAATTGAAGGTATACTGTACACACAGTATTTTATACCACAAGTAGTTCCATGTACAAAATAAATATTGAAAAATAGGACATTTAAGAGCCTGTGGAAATGCCGGGCTCTGGCCGGATGAAGCGTCACAAACCGGCTCTGTGCATTTGAGTCCACGGCTGCGCTTTACTGTGGCAAAGGCACGAGGACCTGCACGTAGTTGATGGGGAAGAAGCCCGACTCCCCGTTGATCATGCCCTCGTACCAGTTCTCGTCTATTTGGTTGGTCAGAATGATGATGTCGCCTTCCTTGAATCCCAGCTCGCCCTCATTCTCTGGCTCAAAGTCGTACAGCGACCGGCAGCACGGCTGGTCCATGTGAGCTTCTGACTCTGGGGGGGGAGGAGGGTGGCAGCAGAGTCAACGAGGGGAGCACCGGGCTCCGGCAGAGAGATACAGCCGTCTCACTCTGGTTAGTTAGGGTTACCAGACACATAGCTAATCGAGTCGGCAAATTCTAAATCAGAAACGAGAGTGTGGCTCGGCGGTGGGGGAGGGGGGTAAACTGAGGCTATGGGTACTGTGCCACTGCACTGGGGTCTACTTACGGCAACTGTGGGGGCTTTCAGACCATGACGGGGCCCTGGGTATGAACTGTTCGGCTGGTTGAGATCAAAACAGCGAGATGGTGGAATGGAGTAGATGGACAGAGACATGCATGAGCTAATGATCTCCCACTGACACAAAAAAAACACTCAGCATCTCTCATGGGAACACTTAAATATGCCAGTTTTAGATCAAAAGCGCTCAAATGTTATTTTGTAGGAGTTTCACACCATCACCACAAGGGGGCAGAAGAAACATGCAAACACATGGAATTAGTGTCCCTCAAGTTATACTGGTATGGTGTGCAACCACAGACACAAAAAAGAGAACCTTTAAAACAGATGTGTGTTTGCTGGAAATGTAATACAGCAGATGCTGTTACAAGCATTAAAATCAGTGTAGAGCAGTGTGTAAGTGTGCATTAAACTTCATTTCATCCATTTCATTTAGGGAAATAACAGCCGAATAAATCAGGATGTAATTTAAGTCCTTTAAGGACTCTACAGACCATAAGGTCATTGAGTAATTAGACTAATTACAAAGCAGGTTAATCTTTGGGCTTTGAAGATACCTACTTTTTCCATTTATAGTGTGGTTGTTACGGACATCTGCAATGAAGGATGGACACATTAATAAATCATAAAAACACAAAATTCATGATGACCAGCCATTCCGGACTCCTGAGTGATTTACAGCTTGGATGTCTTTCATTTGCTTGGCAGACTTTGAGCCAAAAGGTTAATACAATAACAATTAAAGCCATTATAATCTACTTATCTAAGGGTATATTCTACAGTTCATCTCACCAAGTGTTATCTGCCGTTTTATTCTCACAGAGCAGATTCACCCCCTACCGGCTGCCCCACCCTCGATCCTTACCAGAAAGCACAGTTCCTTCTTTGTGTTCACATTTCCATCTTTTACCTGGTATTCCATAACAAACGCTAGGGACCGGGGCCTGACCCAAGCTAAGCAGAGCCTTCCCCGGTCTGTGTGGAACTAATTACACCTAACAGATTTGCACGATAACCCGGGCCTTACACTGCCACGGAAAGCAGCAGAAGGTGACGCTGGTCCTCCATGTGTGTGCGGCTTTGAGGCAGCGCTTAACTCCCGCTCGTTTGGGTACGAGGGTGGGATGCAGTACCTGAGGACTTGACTGAGGAGCTGTATGACAGCCCATTTTGCTGGGAGCTTTCAGTGGCTTCTATGCTGGTCATTATGGACTTGGGCTTGAACTCCCTCTTCGGTCGGCTGCTTGCCGCAGCTATCCTGAAAAGCAGGACCTCTCGATTTAACAAACACACAGACCGACATCGTCATCTACATGAGCCCTGAGAACGAGAGGGGAAAGGGGGCCTGCCTGGGGCTCCTACCTGCTTTGTATCTTGCTGTTCAGATCCTCCAGAATTTCTAGGGTTTGCCTGTGATACTCAAAAGCAGCTTGTATCAGGGCAGCCAGCTGGCTCACTTGTTCCACCTGCAGGAACAATGAGAGCCATGACTGAAGCTATTTGCTGTAGGCACACAGTATGAGAGAAAAGAGACAGAACCCATATGTTTTAGTGCAGGGGTTCTTAAGCATTTTCAGCGTCCAGCCGTAAATGGGCCATCAAATTATTTTTCGATGCTGAAGTCTAATTGCCACCCATGTTTAGAGTTGCAACCCGTCCTGTACTTATTTTATCTTATTTTGTTTGTTTTATTTTAGAGTGGACAGTTAGTAACTGTCCCAGATTTACCTAAAAGCTAAATTTCATCTGCAAATAAAAGGAAAAATTGAAATGTAAACCAATTCAACTTACCCCACAGCATAGCACATTTCATCACCAGGGACTTGGGTGGGGGGGGGGGTCCCATATTTGTGATTGAAAATGTTAACTGTAATTGCTGGTGTCTGTGACTTTGAGTACTTGCGTCCTGTATGTGTCCGGATGGCAATGCCAAATGGTGAGATAAGTTTGTCGTATTTCCAGTTTTAACTGGCACGTTTGCAGTACACAACACCAGTGTGTTGCGTGTCGGACTTTAAACTGCCAAAGTATCACCACACCACCCACGTCTTTTTACCGTGTTTATCCACAAGATCTCCTTGTTTAAATGATGCTGTGACTGCTGAGCTGTCGCTTCCTTCACCAGCACATATAGTTTGCTCACCCCTTCCATGATATTACCAAAGCAGTAGCATATGGCCGCTAACTTAGCCAACCATGCAGTTCATTTGTAGGTTTTCTGTTATTAAAAGGCTACCATATGATTGGCTGGAATCGTGTTTGTTTCTGTGCTCTGATAAGCTTGTGTGTGCTATCAAGCAATGTTCCTTATTGACATTTTATCAAAGTTCCTCATTTTACTATTTCAATCTTATACAACGATACATCCTTATAATGCCAAAGGAAAAGGGTGACCACATTTACGTGAATGCATGGCCTGTCCAATAGGTGTTTTATGACTCTTTTACGACTCTCACAATCCCTCTGGAATTATGTTGCCACTCACAAAGGGATCACAGCCAACAGGTTAAGAACCCCTGATTTAGTCCATTAAGTTAATCTGTGCAATAAGAGACAATGGAAGATGACAACCAATAGGCCGCCGGCACTCACGTCGTTTTCTAAGAAGTTGAACATGCTCCTCTCTGCCAGCTCCTTGGACTCCTCAAACTTCTCCACAGCCTGTTTGATCTCCTCATCTGGGATCTTCCCCTGGCGCTTCTTCTTGTAATCAAAGTCTAACCTTCGACCTTCCAGTTTCTTTAAGTGATGCTGTGTGATGAAACACAGCACACCGAGTCCCTGTATTTATACCATTCTCTCGAAACCGTTCTTTGTGATTGGCTGCCTGATGATTTAGTACATGCCTCTCCATCTTCCTAAACCAATCATACATTTCCGTTCCCAAAGCCACTTTGGATATTTGCAAGGTATGACAATCGCACCTTTTGCATGTACAATACATGCACAGCTTAATTAAGATGCCACAATAAAGATCTCAACATTTTTCTCAATAAATCTCTACATTTTTCACAGTTGTTATCTGCGTTTCTCAGTTGCCGAACCCGCTTTTCAAACAGAGGGGTATTACAGGGTCTTATTACTGCTCACATACAAGCTGCTGTTAAGTCTCACCCCAATCTCTTTCAGGTCTTTGTCTTGTAGGTTCTGCAGTGGATCTATAAAGTTCTGTTTGACATTAATGTCCAGAGAGTCCTTGATCTCGGCCATTTGCTTCAAGGCTTCACCGATGTCCACCAAGGCACACCCTGATGGGAGACCAAATGGAGACAATGGGATGGGTCTCCCCATAGAAACCCCCCCCCCCTCGACAGAATGCCAGGGCTCACAACTTAGTGACACAGAACATGGACATTTACTGCAGCCATACCTATTTATCTAAATGAAAAAAGAACATACACAATTATGTCATCACCTCATTAATATCAGAACTATATTTATTACACAGCAAGAAGATTTTAGCGACCTGAGTTTCGTTTAGACATCACATTAGATAAATGGCATTATATTATAAATCACAGAAAAATGGCTCAGCAATTAAATTAAACCTATCCACAAATCCTTTTGAGCATAACCTGTGGGTCGTATGGAGCCCAGCTTGCATGTCATTTCAGAAGTACAGACTGATGGCTGCATTCAGTCAGAAACAAGCTGCCAATCACTTTTGTGTAATAAATGCTCTGTCCACAAGGTGGCATCAGCGACCTCAGAGAAAGACCCAGGATGAATTTCAGCTCGAAGCCTGATAAGCATTATGGCAAGCCAGAGCCCCAAAGGCAGCTCCAAAAGGAGGCCCCCGCTCCCCTGCTGAGGAGCATGAAGGGGACTCACCGAAGGAGGACTCCTCGCCCAGATCCCTCCCATGGCGCAGCATGCAGTCCCCCAGGAGGCCCTCAGTCTGCGGGTACCCTGTGCTTTTCACCTGCCCTCGGATTTTGGACACCGTGTTCACCATGCCCAGTTTGGCTCTGTAGGCTGACAAACCATCCACATTCGGTGCGTGAGCACAGCATTACTGCCTGCAGGCGAAAGGCAGGCTTGGTATCGACTGACACCGTTGACAAATGAATGAGAAATAACACACTAAAATAACAAGGGTCTCATCCATTACTATGAAGATACTCCACTTTTTGCATTAATTAAACTCTTAGCAAAAGAACTTGACATGTGTCAGTGTTTTAAAACTGTCTAAAGCAGTTTCCCAATCCAGTCCTCGGGGATCCACAGTCGGTCCATGTTTTCACTCCCTCCGAGCTCCCTGCCAGACAGTAAACATTTTTGCTCCCAAAAAAAATGGAGGAAAAACGTGGACCATCTGTGGGTTCCCAGGGACCAGAATGGGAAACACTGGGCTAAAATAACATTACAGGATCTGGCCTACCTGGGTTTGGCTGGAGATACTCTGTGGTTTTGGACAAGAGGTCAACAACTGATTTATTGGTCACCTCAATTTTCTAAAAGAGAAGTAATGTGCCAGTCAAACATTGGAAATCAATTAAACAGCATTAACCAGACCTAATATACAATTTGAAGAACATTTGATTGCGGTGAACTAGCGGTTGCTTATTTTGAAATGTCTTCTTACCCTCTCCATCTCAAGGAAGTCTTCATCCAGCTTAGTGCCTTCAGCACCACTTATCTTCTCGCTCAACAGCTGCAAGCAAAAGGTAAAGAAATGACGTGAGGGGTGACCAGCGGGCTGCCATCGACGGTGGGGGTGAGACGCTCCAGGGAAGCCTGAATAGCATGATGTCAGAAACATCAGGACCAGCAAAGCCTTGGCCAACCAGAGAGCTAACTTAGTAGCAAATGAATGAATTAATAGTTGCACAGTGGAACAATGCCTTCATTGTGCCACGCACTGTGGCAATAACACAAGTGATTTATACATAAAACCACAATGACTTTGGTCCTCCTTTGTGAAATGCATACATGGCCTTCAAACTGTGCCTTTTAACACAGAAGCTCCTGTCGACACCAAATTAAATTAAAATGAAGCTCCATCAAATCACTGATGGAGAAAAACATGGCAGTATAAGCATAATGACATTCAAAACTGCATTGGGGCAACTTTGCATGCTTACAAAGCAGCAAACACTTCCATCTAACACTATGTGTGTCTGTTGGAGGCCTGTGCTCTGCAAAGAAGGCATGAAGGTTAGAGGTATCGAGAGGGTGTGTTACGCTATGCTGTGATATAATAATGATGTGTTAAATACTGCAATGACAAGTTAAAGTCATGCTCTAAGGTCAGTGGACTACCTAGGATAATAGTGAAATTTATAGACGTTTGAGAATATAGAATATGATGTAGAATTTGATGTAGAATATAGAAGTTCTGACACTGCAACAGAATCTTCATCTACTTCATGCAAAAAAAGTCAAACTTGACCTGCCCAACACTGTGAGCTGAACTTCTGGTCCCGCCTCAAGTAATCTCACTGAGATGGCATCTCAAACCTTCAAGCACAGGTGTCAGTTTTCATCTCCAAAAATATTTGTACATTGTAGACTTTCCTGCTCTTCCTTTTCTGTATCCTACTGTTGATGTCCTTGGTACTGGCACAGAGAACTGCCATGGGAACAGGGACTGTCTTCCCTCCAAGGCTCCTTGAATCTCTACATCACCAGAATCACCAGAATATCTCCTGTGTTCTCAGCATTTGGCCAAACTTCCTTATTAATACAGTGGGTTAATTTTACAGCACTTCTAAGGTGAACTATCAGTGCAGTCGAGACAACTCTGGACAGCAGATGGAAGATTAAGGTAGGGTCAGGCAGACGTTAATGCATAGCTCAGAGATGGCTAGATCAGACTCAGATGGGATTTTAATGTATTTTATCACAGGAAGAATTCTGTACTTTCTAACTGGGTTTACAGGACTCCCAGAAAAATAATTAGAGCTCAAAAAAGTAATGCATATAACTCCACTAAATTAATAACAAAGGCACCAGAGGAGTAAAGGAAAAATGGGAAATTTTTTTATAAAAATCCAGACCAACCCAACACACATCAGAGTAGGGACAGAAACTGCATACCAGTGTCAGAAGCAGGCTAAATTTAGCCTGATTGTTATGCTCCCTGCTATGTACAGAGCAGAGAAATGAAAGAGCATCCAGGTTCAGTCCCTTTGCAGCAAGGCAAACAGCAGCCACTTCTCTTTGATGTGGACTGAACAGTCACGTGCCCACAGAGGGCTGTATGCTCCAGCAGCACATGAGGATACCTGTTCAATGCCCTGCAGCGTACAGCCACTCTGCCACCATCATTCCCACTCTCCTGATTTTTCTCAAATGAGGGCCAGGAATTCCCCCAGGTGTCCCGCCTGTGTCAGTATACCCCTGTTCTGACATGTGCACCGTCAGCCACCCTACGCAGGCTAAATGAAGCAGTGTGAAACACTAGGAGGGAGGGAGGCATTGTTCAGTCAGTTCCACCCACAGCCTTATAGGAATGCATCTAACAGCACCCATCACCGTGGTGATACGAGTGAAAGAAGCCAATTCATCTAAGCCACCTGATGAAACACCCATTGTGTACTCTTTGGACCTCCTTGTCTAAGTCAACGCAACACGCTCAAGGACACAACCACATCTGACCAGTAAATCACTGGGGCAGGCCCCCTAAAACAGAAAAACGTACAATATTTTCATCTGCTGAAAAACAATTTCTGCACCTTCTACAATGTTCTCCCCTCATATACTTGCAAAGCTCTCAGGTTTTGTTTCTGAGATGAACTTGTCCTAGAATTAATAACTGCTACAGGCAGGCGATTCGATCCCAGGAAAAACTGAGGTTTATCTTGGAAGTGTTTTAACTGTTCTTATCCATATAGTTAACAATCCTTATAATATTATCGTACATGTTCAGATTTTTCTATGGAAAAGTTACTTTACAAGGGGGAAGTTTTCCAAGACCACCTCCCACAAGGCGTTAAAAACAAGATCTGATTTGTAGAACAGAACATTGCTGTTCCAAAATGACGCCAGGTAAATATTCACAGCTTTTTAAAAGGGGCAGGGCCAGCAGACCAGGAGACTATTACAAGCCCCATCCATAGGACACCCCAGGTTCCTATGCAGCACAACCATGGTAAGTAACAATAAGCAGGTATTTCATTTAGAGCCACACACCACAATCAATCACCACCCTCACTAAACATAACATCTTATAGGTTTATATGCAATTTTCCAGAGCTCAAGTTTGTTGATTTTAACTCCACAGTAAATAATAATAAAGGCATTAATTTAGAACTGATTTACTAAACCAGTATTAAAATGCCACAGAAAAATTCTCTAAGGCATTAATTTAGAACTGATTTACTAAACCAGTATTAACATGCCACAGTAAAATTCTCTAAGGCAACACTTGTAATTTTTACAGATTTTTACAGCTAGGCTCTGCAATAAAGGCCGTTATTATGAAACAATGCCTGCAAAGACTAAGTATATGTGAAGGCCACCGTGCCTGCGGCACTGCTATGTGAACTATGCTGCGAACAGGAAGCCATTCCATCCTACGCAAACTGAGGTATGCAGCAGAGAGAAATGGCCCCTGCTTTCCGATCACGTCCTGTCAGGTCAGAATAAGAACCAGACATTATTCAAGGTTTTCCTTCTGTTACTACCGAGACCCTGCACCACGACGAGGTCATTTTTTTGTAGCAGAAAAGCAACACGCAAGCCTTCCTTTCTCATGCAAGTTTATCTGACTGTCAAAATAAAATTAACTTAAACGGTCTATTTCATTTTCTTCCAGAAAATGGATCGTTTAGATTAATCGACCAATCTGTAAAATAGTCAAGAGATGAATCCATAAAAAACATTGTTGTTATTGGCAGCCCTAATTTGAATCAAAGAAACAATGAGTAATAATCAAGAAAGAAGACTTTTAACAAGAAAAAAACATCAGAGGTCAGCCTCCAGAAGCCAATGTCACCACATTCCTGAGCAGGGAGGCATTGCGGCGAAAAGAGTCTGGATTAACAAGAAAACAGTGGCTTAACCCCCCCCCACCACAGACCACTCCACAATGAGGAATGCTGACATCATGCATCAGCTGAAGCATGATAATGCAATGGGGAGAAAATGAGGGAGAGAAACACACTGAAACACTCATTGTCATGCTTAATGTCACAAATCCCCAGCATGTTCAGCCGCAACATGGATCTGTCAGTCTACATAGTTACAGCCATTTCTCTTTCAAAAGGGAAGCATTTACAACACAGGCCCACTCTGCATATGAACACGCTTTATGAAAACAAAAGATCTCTTAAGAACCCACAAAATACTAGGGCTGGCACGATTAGTCAACGTAGCCCATGATGTCGATGCTGAAAATGGGTTGACATCAATACTTCAAATCGACGCATCTTTTAATAAAATTACCTGTATGTTTTCTAAATCACTTAAATTCATTATAACAAATATTTTCCTTCAATATCACTATATAATTATAGGAGTAGTTCAAACTGTCACAAAACAAAAAGGTAGTTTTACACTGTGCAAAGTGCGATGGCATTGCATAGCGGCATAAGAGCTATGCATGAGCACCTGAAGAGGAAACACAGAGGTGCTATTTAATCTGTGTCATGGACCACCAGGGTGAGCAAAGCCTCCATTAGTCCTGTTTATTTATGTTTATTAAATTAGCATTAAATTGATAGCTTTTTAATATCTTTTGTCCTTGTGACTGCTAAATACACTTATTATTGAAACGACAAAATTATCTGCCTGCTACCTTAGAATCACTAAGGATAAGTGTTCCAGAGAGAACGTTTAGGCTAAAATCTGGGCTTATTCTACGGTGACTGACAGTGTCAGAGTGCGTTTCTGCACGTTGGACTTGTTAGGATCAGTGTCGTTATCATAAAGTACAACTGGAACTAAAATGGACACTCCATAAAAGAAAAAAAAATTGTGAACTGAAATACAAACGCAAACCATATTTACAAAAAAAAACCCGTCAGATTTAAATCTGGAAAAAGTACCGCCACACCACCAGCATGTTTTTACCTTGTTTAACCACAGTATCTCTTTTAAAAGATGTCGTGGCTGCTGATCTGTCCCTTCTTTCATCACGACTTCAGAGCTTATCGTTTGTGTCGGATGTGGTGTCCTCCACCAATCTAGTTTAATTATTAAGCAAGTCGATACGCCAAATTTATACAGATTACTAACTGTTGGGCATCACAACACACATTTTATTAATATTTTAGACATACTACTAATCTGCTAATTGAACTGTGGGCGAAAATAATGTCAGTATACTCCCAAAAAAGCCGGCATCGATTAAATGAACTGAATTTATACAGTCAAGTTGTTTTTCTGGAGGGAAATGGATCGTTTAGATTAATCAACCAATTGATAAAATAGTCGACAGAGTAATCCATAGAAAAATAGTCGTTAGTGGCAGCCCTACAAAATACACAATAAAAATCCCCATTTGTCATTATATGAGGAAGATCACTGTCTTTGAGGTTTCTGTACGTTAAGATTTCTGTGCTTGTGTCAGTCTCCTAGCAAAAACCAGGTACAATGCACCTCACACCTGCTTAAGGAATTCTCTCCCCTATACAAAGATATGGCATATACCTAACCACACAAGTACACTTTAAAATTGAAGGTGCAGTTGAACTGAATGGAAAATGTCAA